GTGGTGATGAAGTAAAGACAGTAAAATCACTGTAATTCATTAACTTGCTCTGTTTTAAAAACGATTTAACCTTGTAAAACTCTTTCTTGATCACATTTGATGATGACTGATGATCACAGAGAGCTGAACAGATCTTTTAATCGCAGTTGCTTTGCACACGTTTGTTTTGTTGATATGATTATACGCGTTACAGAGACATGTTAATATGTGGCTATCAATCAATTTGGTGGGTGGGGAAACCGCACTTCTACATCACATTGTGGCGGACCTCAAAATGGAAGGGATTTGGATCCTATTTTACCATCAGGAAATAAAAAAAGAGACTTATTGCCATTACATCATGCCAATATGACTGTGGACACACTTTACTTACAAACAGTTCTGTCCAAACAGCTTACAAAAGAGGATTTTCATCATAGCTGCCCTTTATTTTCAAAGTCATTTATTACCTACCTATCCATATTTGCCAATATTTGGATTGAAACAACCAAACATTTTTAGAGTGTAGTATTTCACTGGTCCCATTTCCAAATATGATGGATTAAATAAGCAAATCTGACCACAAATAAAAAAAATTGAAATATTAGCAGAAGAGTAACTTCAACCCAATGAAACTTCAGCAGTTTTAATCAAACTTCTTCCCTGAAGATCAAAACCTCAAAGAGTACGTTGGTGTCAACCTAGTTTTTCAGCAGTAGTGAATCAAAAATCTTTTTTCCCATTCATATTTCCTAAAGGGTTAAGTTGTTTCCCAAAAATGTAGTTGTTAAAGTGAAGGACCGTAGCCAGACTACTGAAAGGAGTGGTTCTTTTTCCTCACAACGTAAAGCTTTTTGCAGTTATTTTCCTCAATTTCTATTAAATTATGAGTTTCAAATACAGTACAGCATTTTAGTGACATTTAAGCATCAATCTTTGCTGCATTAAAAATATTGCAGCAAAATATTTCTTACAATTCTGTCAAAGTGCTTACCCCCCTATTTTACCACAACATGTTTATTTAGAATTGTGTGTTTAAACTGTAAACTACAGTTTAACCGTTTAAAAAATAATGTTATGGGATTAGGGTAAATAAAGAAGTATGAAAAATACTTGTTTTTAAAATACAAATTTATAAATCGTGCAAAAAACAATTAGGAATCTGTTAAAACGTATAAACCCCGAACCAACTAAAAAAATATTAAAAACTGTAGCCTGTAGGTAAATAACAAACTGGCCAGCTCATTTCCTCAGTCAGAATTTGTAAATTTGAATAGTTAAAAATGATTTTTTTCTAAAGCCTTTCAGTTATTTTCACAGTTTATGATGGCATGATGTCAAAAATTGCACTCATATGAGCTCATATAGAGGCCAAATTCTGGACTTTGTCGGTGTGTTGTCTATTGAACCAACCAAACCCATCCTGGCTGAAACCCCCTAAAGTATTATTTTCGATGATATCATTGTTTTTTTCAAAGTCTACAATAAAGTTTATAGCTCTTTAAAGCATTAATCAAATGGGGGAAAAAACTTCCAACAATCATATTTCCTTTCCTTTATTTTTATTTTTTAATTCCTTTATTGTTTATTGTTTTGTTATTGATCTGTAATGTTATTTATGAAAATCTGGAATATTTTATTTCCATCATTAAGTAGTTATCATCATTAACCCTTTCTGTCAAGCAAGGAAGTGACCAAAATAAACACTTAAAAAATCATTTACATATCTGACATCGTTAACCTACATGTATATTACTGAAATCTAGGAAGTGAAATATTCAGATCAAATATTTACAGAACAAAATTACTAAATGTCCAGGACATATTTTACTCACTAATGGAGTTTGACCATTCACAAAACCCGACCTTTACAAACAGCGTGCACAGGATTACAAACAGGCCTTTTCATACACAGCAGCTCACTATAAACACCAAGTATATGCCACATGATCTAGCATTAATCTACTGTTTATTTTCCCAATTACAGCAGCTTATTTCGTATCGGTGGGCAAAAGAGGGGGCACACAGGCCTCTCCAGGGGTCTGAGGGATTTCCTGAGGGCCCTACAGCGCCACAGCACGGAGACTATTCAGATTTGTCCTGTACACTAACGTCTAAACAACAAGTCTGAACCACGATTACCAGCTTAATATTTATTACGCATAAAAACACACACCAGAGGGACTCCTTCAACTCTTAGCATACACACCCCAAAATAAAAAAAGTGTTATGAAGCTATTCAATTAGATTATGATAATAGATTTATGATAATAACTCTAGGAGCATTTAAGAAATCATTATCACTCCTTGGCTGTAATATGCAGCACTAGACCTGGATATCAAATTGGGTATCTTTTTTTTCATTGGCCTGAGGGAATAGCATTGAATTTGACTGTAATAGCGGGCAGTTTACAAGCTAACATCCGTTCCGTTGGCTCATGCCATACAATGTGATATTCCACAGTGCTGAAAATAGCTGCTGTTGTAGAAAGATGAACTGTGAGAGAAGCAGAACAGAGACGTGAGTAGGCGTTCGTTTGTCAGAATATTTCTGTCCATTGAAATACCACACGGGCGTTGCGTAATGCAGCGCAGGGCATTATTGAATCTCTAGGTGAATCAGGGGAAATGAGCTTGTGCATTTAAGATGCTGTGTTACAGGTAAAGTGGTTCATGCAGAGCGGGGGAAAAAACTATTGGGGTCTCATTTTTTTCTTAGAATAAATGTAAGTGTTTTGTACTATATGAGCTTTTTGGCACTTTTATTAAAAAAGTAAAAAATGGAGAACTGGAAACAGACAAAGTTACATCTAAAATTAATTTAAATGTATTAACAATGTGACCTGAGGGGTATTGCACAAAAGTGGAAACGAGAAAGTGTGGATATAGGCCAATCAGGTAATGAGTTCAAACACACCCCTCTCGAACCCTAATCAACGGAAACATGAGGATGCGTATTAACATTTTAAATTGTTTATTTTGTCTTAAATGTGACCAGTGGACATTCATTCTACTGATGCCTTTATCGTGAAGATTATATAAAACACTATATTGCAAATCTATTTTATGTGTTTAGTTATTAATACAATATTATTATTATTAATATAATATTATTTTAATATTATTAAATATTAAAAATAATTTAAAATTGATGATATTTTCTAGTTTGTAATTTTTATTCTTTGCAATATCTTGTATAAATTTTAATGTGTTATCTTTCTATGCCTAATGTTAGGTGAACAACGTCTATTTTAAGGAACATAACTGGTAAATAAAACAGTTTCATTTAAATGCACCAAAAACCATTGTCTATATTCACTGAGCAATGGATAAAAATATTCATTTTTAAAAGGGGCTGTACTCATTTACGCTGAGCACTATATCTATTTTTTTTATCATTCATCTGTTTTCTTTCTCTCTCTTATATTTACATCTGAAATGGATATATATATATAAACATATATACAGTAAAATGACTGCTTAGACAATTAAACAGACTTTTAAAAAATTTTAATAGTCCTAATGGTTCATTTTTAAAGTCAAATATATGTAAATGGCCAAAAGCATATTTTGAATTAGAAAAATAAACAGGAGTTTCTAAGCAGTGCATCTGCATCTAAATAAAATTGACAAGCATTTATAAATATGACAAGGCAACAATAAAAGTGAAACAAACTGTGCTTAGTGGTTTTCTGGGGAGTCTAACAGTACTCAGGTACAGAAATTGAACAATCAACCATAAAACAAGAACAAAATGCTATTGATGCTTTGTGTGCAATTTAAAAAAAAAATGTTGTCAATTTTGCAAAGTGAAAAATTAGGGTCCAATAACACATTATAATCAATAACATTATAATCATTTAAAATGCAGTTTCACATCCAGGAACACAAAATTATGTAATCACTTCAAATTCACCTTCCACTGGCCATTTTACCATGCTAATGGCACGTCCGCACACATGCATGCACGCGCGCACACACACATACACACACACACACACACACACACCTTGATTATACAGACAAAAAGGAGAGTATGGCAACTAGCTGGTTAAAAAAATCTGTTGTTTTTGTTTAGCTTCATTTGGCAAGCATGTACATCCAAGGTTGTTCTCTGGCAAGCGTTAGTTGGCACGAATGAGATGTGCTCTCTCTTTCTCCCTCTCTTTCTCTCTCTCACACACACATACACATACACACACACATACACACACACACACACACACACACACAACCTCAGACAGTACAGTGGAGAACAGACTGTACTATGTCAAGCGGCAGGTACTGTAGCGCTCACTTAAGGAAGCCCAATGGTTTCACACTGCAGTCTAACCTGACGCATTCTCTAAGCGGTGTTTACAGAGGGACGGGGCACAATGGCAAACCCAATATAACAGACAAACTGATACCTGATCTTTAAACACACTCAAGTGCACACTAGTGTAAATACTCTGACAAATACAAGTCATACAAGTCACAGGTCTGTTGTTCCTGTAACCAGGTGATGTGATAATGGACGCAAACATAAAGTTCAATATGAATATCAATGGGTTTACAAATTGATCTTGAGCACAAAAAATTTGTTATTATGTATTGTTTGCTCCCAGGTAGGGCTGGCCGATATGGAAATGCAATCTCTATAATTATTTTCCATATTGAATGATAACAATATATATACACTGTATATATTTCGATATAAGATGTTTCTAGATTTTAAAGACTACCCCAACAATGACTGAAGCCATAAAAATTAGTGGGTCCATTAAGTGGCATAACATATTTTCGGCCAATAAATTTTCGGCGGCAGAAAATTTAGTTCATTTCTAATATCAACACACTTTTAGATTCCCATTGTTGCATATTTTTACTGTTTGATTGACTTTTACTGTAGATAAATATAGAGCAAAAAAGTCCAGAGCTTATCATTGGTATTGACATCAATTTTATCGAGATTTGATATAATATCTTTTATCGGCCCAGCCCTTTCTCCCAGGTGGTTGCAAGCAAAAGTCATCACTTACTTTGGCTTATGTCGCTTCAAGCCCGTTGGTCATTCTTAATTTTGTAGAGTATCAAAGGGTGGAATTTGATGAATGTAACAAGTCACTCTTTTCCATCCAATTACAACGGGAATTGGAGTCTTCAACCTGCAAAAATGATGCAAAAGATTGATTAAAAAAAGCACATCGATGTGAAAATTTTGCACTACAATTTTTACAAACCAGAAAATACTCATGCGCAATTCAAGTGTTATGGTAGTGACATTTGCAGTAAAAACTGAAATCATAAATTCACAAAGAAAGTAAATGTTGACATTATATTGAAACATCTGTTTATATTTTCCAGAACAAAAAACCCTAAGGATCAGAAAAATATCAATCTGTAATTTAGTTTTAGATTTTAAATGAGAAAAATAAACATGCGTTACGGATGTGACTAAAAAAATGTTGGCAAGTTTGCAGTATACAACACACTTTGGAGAAATTCTGTGAATTAAACTGCACAACCCAAAAGAAACAATCCTAATTAAAAGGACCAAGGTTGGGTCTTAATAGAACTAAATTGTTGATTTATTTATTTTTTTTTGCATTTATGCGGAAAAAGCTTTGTTATAGATGTGACAGATGTAAAATTAGCACTTGTGTAACTTTGCTAAATCAAATATAATACTTTGAAAACATTAACAGACATTTTTAGGTATTTTTAAATTACTGTAAATGCTTGCTTACACCAAAAATGTAGAAACGGTTTCACTATTTTGGTTGAAGCTCAGTTTTTTCAAGACAAGTTTTATTGTCATTCTGCTACATGTGTGGACATGGTACTATATGAATTAATCATGAATACAAACACAACATTTTTACATAAGAGCTATTTAAAAAAAAAAAAACCTGGTCAAAATATGTATAATTTTTCATCGCATGGTTGACATTTTGGAATTGCTCCAATTATATATATATGAGAATGTGAGAATTTACAGAAAAATAAAAAACTAATCTAAACTAAAATAGATTCTTTTTTTTAAAATGAAACTATACTAAAATATACTGAAACTATTAATAAAAGACAAAGAAATTAAAACAATTATAAGTATTTTGATCACAAGACAAAGACCAAAACAAACAAATGATGATGGAGAAGTCAAAAAGAGCGAATTTTGCTGAGTGGGAAAATGTACAGCAAGCTGACAGGAAATATGACGAGGTCACTCGCTACACTGATACCACTGTCATGGAAATTGAAATGGATGTTGTTGAAATGGACCGTGCTTAAGCCATCTACACTGGATTCAATAATGTTCCTCCATAAAAACACGTAGCCTTATCTTCAAATCATAATTAAGTAAATCATAAATGCATAAAGTAAACAGAGTATATAGGCTAATGTTGGCATTATTCTTTTATTATTCAAATACCTGTCATAATTTAGATTTTATATTAATTTAAATGGTTAGGAAAGACTTATTTTTATTGGTGTGTTGGTAAATTTAAAGGCTTGGTGTATGTACCTAGGCCTATTTAGAGTGCTGAGATGTTACAATGTTACAGAGGACTTGTTTTATTTCTTTGTTCCAACTTCTAAGTGGCCTACAGAAAAACAGTAAAAACATGTACACAGCAAAGTCCTGAGAAAAAATTTAGATAGATTTAGTATTTGGTTCCTCTCTAAACGGAGTTAAAGTTACTCAAGTGAATGAGACAATGAAAGGATTAGTAAGATGATGATTGAGCCCTGATGAAGAATACCTGCAGTTTATAGGCAGAAACACAGAAGAGAAACACAAAACTCCAACTCACTTCACTCACAGCCTTAGATAAAATCAGCGGATATATAATACATTGAATCTCTCAAAATCTCAGCAGAGGATCAAATCGAAAAAGCGACTCTACAAACAGCAGCTTTACTTATTACCAACCTGTTTGCCCTTATTTAAAGAGGGACCAAATACTCTCTAAACCGAGTCAGTTTTACTCAGAGGATTTTGCTGTGTGTAAACAACTCATTCTTTTAAAAAAGGCAAAAGAGCTGTGTGCATGTGCACATTTGAATAATGTCTGACTGTAAATGGGTTTGGGCTTTTAAAAGGCTGTCAATCAAAAAGTTTTTTTTGTCAGGCTTAGGCCGAATTCTGTTACAGCTTTACTACACAGACCTGTGTTTGCAGCAGGTTGCCACCCAGAGCGACAGGCAGCTCTAAAGTCGCTGCTAGTGTGAATGAGGCATCACTGGCCAGATCGGTCTCAAGAGAATAAGTTCTTTACAAATGAATTCTTCTCCAATTAATTCACTATAGGGAATAAGAAGAAAACCACCAATTATCTCATGCAAAGCTACTATTTGACTTCAGAATAGAGTTTACTATACAGCATACAAATATAGACCAACTTTATGATTGGATTTTTATCGGTGGATTTTACAGAAAAAGCTCAATGAGCTAAAAAAATAAACCCTGAAACATCTTTCCTGTTCCACAGAAGAAAACAAGTCACACTGGTTTGGAGCAGCATGTGGCTGAGTACATAATGACTAAATAATGAAAAAATCCATTAACACGACACATAAGTGTTCCTGGGCTGTTCATACATTAAAATAAGGCACGCTGTTGTGACAGACAGGATTGTCAAATGAAGGTGTAAAGTCGGCTTCTGTGCGACAGTCAGCTTCTGTTGGACGCCGAGGATGTTTGGCAGCTTTCTGACTGCTGGCAGCTGGGCAGACAGATGCACGGCGAGTGACTTCGCAGGACAAGAGTTATGTAACCCTTAACGTGAATTCAGACACACCAGGACCAGCGATGACTGACATCTGATACAAGCATGCAAGGGAGGCCCTGAGACAGTGCTGACAACTCCCTTAAGATCAACAAATAAAATCAAATAAAGAATACAAATATATAAACAAATACAAATTCTAACCATTAATTAAAACATTCTTCCTTGTCTTTATTAAACTACTAATTCAGTTAATTAGTAATTAGTTACTAATTTAGTCAGAAAAATGCTTCAAGAAATGTTAGATGTTCAGATGTTAGTATTTAACAGTTTTTGGCTAGTTTTTAACCGTAAACACAAATGCCCATGAGAGAGTTTGCTTGTGCATTCAGCAAATTTTGTAAGTGGAGTTTGATGTCAAAATTATTGTATACACAGCTCACCATAAACCTTCTTGTAATTCACATGAACCTTTGCTAACTTTATTATTCATAAAAAAAAAAAAATTATATATATATATATATATATATATATATATATATATATATATATATATATATATATATAACATTTTTTTATAAAATGAGTAAATTAAATTAAATAATCAATAAATAAAAAAAGAATATATATGATAAAATAAATAAATAAAACTCAATAACAAAATTAATTAAATAATATTAAATTAAAATACAAAAATATACTGAAACCATTAAAAAAAAGTCAAAGAAATTAAAACAATTATAAGTATTTTGGACACAACCCAGGGAACAAAAAAAAAAAAAAATCAAATAAATATTAAAAATATATAAACAAATACAAATTCAAACCATTAATAAAAAAATCTAATAGTAGGAATACTTAACACTGCCTTCCTTGCCTTTATTGAACCACAAATGCAGGTAATTAGTAATTAATTACTTATTTAATTAGAAGTGTGTTTAAGAAATCAAGTCAAAAATTAGTTTTAACAGCTCTTGACTAGTTTTTAACCATAAACTCAAATGCTCATGAGGGAGATTGCTTGCGCATTTGGCAAGTTTTGTAAGTGTGATTTTATGTCAAGATTACAAGATACACAGGTCACCATAAACATTCTTGTAATTCACGTAAACCTACTGTTAAGAATGAATATTTTAGGTTCACGTGGTATATGTAAGGACCTGTATGCAAGAAGAGTATGGATGCCCAAAACTCAGAATCAATTCAAGAGAGAAGAGCATTTTGAAAGTCTCAGAATCAATTTTTTCTAACAATTTTATAATTGTCATATTTTCTCAACAAGCAACTAAATATTTTTAAACAATCTTAAAAATCTACAAACAGCTATTTAATTTAGCTTAACTTATAATAAAAAGAAGCCCACATTTGAGAATTATAAGACTCCAGCAATCTTTGCAGTATATACAATGAACAAATAATGCAAAAACATGATGTACTCTGAAAACTTGTTCTCTGCTATTCAGTCCTAAACATTGTCCTCCTCAGCCTCTTGCTTGTGCACGCATCAAAACTCAAGCCCCCTTGAGGCTTAAAGAACAGGCAGAACTCGGAATCACAGGTGTGGGATATCACAACTAGATCACGCTGAGAGGCCCGTCAGAGATTTAGGGAATTGAAGCGGCCCATGCTAATGACAGAGCTGATGCCAGAGATGCTTTGCTGGAGCTCAGCCTGGTGCTGTTGATCCCCTCTGTGCCTGGGGATTTACCAGCCAAAGCCCCCCTAAACCCCTCCTTCCATCTGAGCAAAGAGAAAAGAAGCAGCTCCAGTTGTACGGCCCATCGCCAGGCCCGCACCCAATCCATTTGGAACTGAAGCACATTATGCCTCAATCAAGTTCTGCATATTCCCCGACCTTCCCTGTGCTTGTTTATTAGCTGTTTTTAGCTCATTTGATTATGTTTTTAGCCACCAAAATGAATGTAGCGTATTGAATAATTTTAAAGGTCCATTTCCAAGAATTTCAAAGACTTCTGAGCTAAAATGTTCAGTGTTTGAAGGTTTGATTAGTTATAAGCTGAATTTTTCTGATTTAGAATCTACTTTTATCAATTGTTTTTCTTATATATTTTAACGATCAGACACAAAGTCTAAGCGCATGGCGCAAAAACATTCAGGGCAATTACGAATCCATTTCGGCCATTTTAAAGACAGAAAAATACGGTTTGCACCCTGGCACATGGTCTAACAGGGTTGTGCTTATTCTTTTAATGAGTTATGGGTGTGTTTTGAGCATGAAGTGCATTAAATCAATCAGATTCTCATCTCCCATTGCCTTATAAGAGTCAGCTGTGTTGTGACATGGCTCATTTGCTATCTACATGGCAGTAAGTGGAAAAACTGAATACTTTTAAACAATTAAACAGACCATCTGCAGCGCGAGGATAAACAACAAGAGTTCTCCATTGGACCTGTTTACTTTCTCTTTACTTTAC